TGTACATCCAATGGTATCCTTTACAAGATCAAGTTTGACAACTTCAAGCTTAAACAGATGCGTTGGGAAAACAGCAAAAGGCTTATCTTCGGCTCTTTATTGTGTTTGTCTTCAGATCAGTTTGAAACAATTGTGTTTGCAACCGTGGCCAACCGAGAACTTCCAGAGATATGATGGGTGAGTACAACTGAGAGAATGAACACTTAGTTAAACAAATATTCGATGGTTTAACATGAAATACGCGCGGATATTTTGCGAGTTGCGTAGTATTTTTCCAAGCCCCGTTGGGGCGGCAAAAATATGACCACAGGGCAAAAGGTGCGCTCGCATTATATGTTAAACCATCGAATAAGGGATTTATTATTCCACTATTACGGTATCTCGTAGTCTAGGGTTTTGGCTTGTAGTCTTCAAAATACATCCCAAGGCCTTCTTAGAGGCTTGCGTCGATCAATTAAGGCGTGCACGAAAGAAGAAGACAACACAAACGAAACCATGCCATATTTTCCCTATCTAAAATATATATGTGTAATACCTGTAAAATAGGTGGTGAGCTCCCTCAGTCAATGACATAAGGCACCTTAAGCAACAGACGTCTTCGTTGACGACGGCGACGTGACAACCGATAAGCAACTGGGGATAGAACGGCTTCAGGTTGCAGTCGCGACTGCGAGTTACCATTCTAAAGAAAAACGCGACGCCCCGCCGAGCGAGCTTCGCAAATTCGGTAGTAAATTTAAAATCATGTCACAATAGAGCTCTCGATTCCTACGCATTGTCCGGTCATGTCGAGCTTTAAGGAAACGCAAGAATTTCGTGTTGAGAAGAATGATCTGTCCGTTTTGGCAGACGCCTTTGGCATTCTACCTATTTCCCGTTGCTCGCAGCGGTCTGAGTTAGAAGGAATGAAAGGTTTGTGTATGCTGCTTAAACGACTTACGTATCCTTGTCGTTATACACCAAGATGTGTGTTCAGATTTTACGCTATTTCGCGCCATGCCAAACCATGCTCTTTGGAGCCAGCCTTGAATTTAAAGGATTCACATAATAAGATTTCTCTGACGAACATGACGTCTTTTTGTTCTGTCCACTCCATCTACGAGGTAAACATAAACTATATTAAAAAAAATAACCCGACGAATTCCAGCCTTATACTATTAAAGCCTTTCTGGTAATAGACACATCCCTTTTGAAATTACAATTGCGAAAAATTAAGAGTCGTTCTGCCAAGGCATATCTAAGACATGTAATATGAGTAATGTTAAAGCGGTCAATTGTAATCAAATGTATACTCATTATTTTTACCAGCTATATTGATTCAAGTGTTGGAATAAAGATATTTTGCCAAGAACACGATCATCTCGTGTGTACACATGAAAACATGGCGATTTACGCACTGAATACAAAATTAATTTGAATAAAAAAAAAAGCTTCTATGTTAAATGAAAGGTCAAGAGGTAGGAATTACGAAATTGACTAAATGTTGTTTCAAGCTATAACAATCTACTGGTTATATAGGGAGAAAATCGGAAAAGACAACCAAGTATTCCGTTGAATGAAACCAACCTCTTCGCTGGAAGCTAGTTTGACATGCGAACATGAATTAAAAAACAAATGAGCCTAATACTGCTTGCAAAACATTATTTCAAACATAAAATCAATCATTATGTAATTTTACCTAGCTTCCAAATTAAATTAGTCCGAAAGTAAGTTAAATGTGATAAAAACAAAATATTAAGTACTCACGTTCTCGTCGCGACGTGGAACCTCACGTTCTCGCGTTTTCGACTTCGGGACAACGGCAAGTCACAACGTGTTGTACATGCGCAGTGACGACTACAAAGAAATTTTTAACGTTTCCGGTTGCCGTCGTGAGGCTGGCGACGTCTTTTGCTTAAGGTGCCTATAGCCAAGTCTGCAACAGCTCACCCTTAAGAAGGGTGACAACAAAGTTACCTTTATGGTCTTTTTTTAAAGGGCATGCTAGACATACAATTCATCACACCATCTGATATTGAAGGACTTGAAGAAATTGACGTGTTCCAGATGGTAGAGAACACTACCTACTTTGAGGCGTATCGCCACGTGCTCAAGGGTCTACAACGGATTTTCCCGGATTATTTACCTTTTCAGGTAAGGATGGTCCTTCATCCTCGAGTTTCCTTAGATGTAGGGCGCCTTCGGGTAAGTATCGTAAAACGTGAACCAAAGCATTCAATCAGAACAGAGGCACATATTAGGTATTTATATAAACCTACCAAAACTGTCAGAGGTACAGGAAGTCGCCACATGTTTTGCATCTGATAGGTTTAGGTGGCAAAATTAGGACATCACTAGCACAACTCTTAACTACTTAGATTCAATTTAAAACTCATGTTAGTACACTTTCCTAATTTTGTTTCTTTATCTGGAGACTGAGTACAATTTGATGCACTAAAGCACAGTGGCGCGTGGCTTTTAGCTTTTTTCGGTAGCTGCCTTTAGGCGATTTATGTCAGGTTGAACGGAATATTTCAGCTAGGCTAATCAGTCAATTGGGTAGTTGTACCGAGCGCTGGCCCATATTAAAGGCGAAACATGTGGGTAACTCTCCCTGAAACTTCCTTAATATTTTCTATGTTGTTATGCACCAACAGAAGTACATTGTGAATTGCCAGGAAAAAGTCGACCAACTTGAAGAGTATACTACAGGGACAAGCCACCTTTGATCTTACTCCCATTGTAAAAAAAGTAAGAAAGGCTACTTTTAAAAGGTATGATGTGAATGTGGCCAAAAAAACCGAAAGTTGTTTTTCTTGGCCGTAAAACGTCGTGCATAAATCGTCTACAATATCCATCACATATATGCTAACTACGAATCAAAATGGATAGTGGCATCATTTGTTTCAACCCTATAACTCCTAAAGCGTAAAGCTACTTCTATAAAGGTCTATGAAGCCTTTGTGGCAACGGTCGTCTACTAATAGTTCTTCGGGACCTCTCTGACTAGAAGGAAACTTTTCATATGTATAGCCGCGTTCCGATTCTGAACCTGGATTCATGGCCATCCGTGGAAGATCTGGGTCTTGATGACTCTCAGTATAGAGCTCTTCAAACGCCGCTGACCAAAGAGTTTGCAATCATTCAAGGTCCACCGGGTACTGGAAAGGCGTTCATTGGGTTGAAGGTATGTTTTGTTACTCCTTTTGGATTTAACAAAGCTGTCACTGTAGGAAACCAATTGTTTATTTGGAACAATGTAAAGATATTAACAACCCTGTATCATTCTATTTGCTTCTCAAAGATCGCCAAAGTTTTGTTGCACAAGAATAGCAAGTGGGACTCAGATGAAGTGAGATCTTGGCACTAGTCTCTACAGTCTTCAACTCATCGCCCAATTCTTTTTGTTTGTTACACAAACCACGCGCTTGATCAGTTTCTAGAGGGAATCCATCAGTTTCATCCGAAGGGAATTGTGCGGATTGGAGGTCGGAGTCAAAGTGAGACCCTGAAGCCGTGCAGGCTGTCGGAGGTGAAACAAAAAATACGTAAAGTAAGCAGCAGCAAATGATACTCGATGAGGTATAATAACGAGCAACTGTCAAGAATATTCTTATAACAATTTGCGCCCGAAAGAACCCACTTTTTAGTGAAAGGATCTCAATGACCAAAAGGGAATCAGGGTTTAACTTTTCTTTACAATAATCTACTTCCACTATTGTGGAACACGGATAGGAGATATTTAGTTAGCTTTTTGCCTCTCAGCAAAGCTTGTCCATCGTTGAAAAGCTCCTAAGTTACTTTAAAATCATCCTCAGGCAGGCTATTGTTGGAATGATTTGTAAGTTTTTCCCGAAGTAATACTTGGCATTTGCTGTTACCAAGAAACTGAAGTTCTTATCAGCATATACAGTACACTGGTTTATTCAAGGAAAAGAAGATTTTAAAGAGTACTTGCATTGTCACTAATGCATGTCTTAGAATAAGTAAGAAATCTACGGATCAAGTGGAATTACCAGTCATTGGAGATTATTTGGGGCTGCAGCATTTTCAATTTATGCTACCATGCGCCACCTTGTAGAAACGACAGCAAACACCTCTGATAGATATCTGTCATTTTAATTAATCCCGTAAATTTCAATGCAATACCATTTGGTTTACAGGAGAAAAAAGTTCCTCAACATATCAGAAAAAGGTTACACGAAGCTCATACGATAATGGAAGACACTGAGTCGATATCGAAATGGGCAGCAGATGGTTTAAAGAAATGCCGTAAAAATATTCTCAGTGAGGACGTGCTGCAATATCGCGCCGAAAGCATGACAGAAGCGCACTACCTTTTCTTTGAAGGAAAATACTCTGATTAGTGATGGTCACGAACACAATGCAATGTTACGTTGGACAAACCTGTCTTTAAACTCGGTGAATTTCAGTCAAGGGGATGTGTGCAAAATGGATGGTACGTATAGGTGGTCCTTCTTCTCGACGTGAATTTGCCCTCTGCAAGTACGAGTCGGACTCGTTCTAGCCATAGCTGGCAGTTGTGAAAAACATCTCCTTGATTTCGTTATTTTACTTTTCTAGATCGAAGGGGGCAGCATTTTCACTTCTCCCTTGTAAGAGTGCTAAGTGAGTACGTAAGCGTAGGTGTGGTGAATATTGTCAAGCTATTCATTTTCTACAAGTTAATATTTAATTTTTTTCTCCAAGGAGGAGTAGACGCATACGCGGAAACAAAGGAAAAAGAAAAAGAAGAGAGAGAAAACCCTGAGAACCAGGATGTGTTGTACGAAGCGAAAGTCATGGAGACACAAAGAGTACTGGATGATGAGGAGATAACGGTGTACAATTCTAAGCCAACGAGAAGAAACGAAGATCTCACAGTTGTGAATCCTTTCACTTGTATCGAGGAAGGTGTAAATGAGTGACAAACACAGGATGCACATCGACTGAAAAGGAAATTGAAAAGGACCATAAATTTAGAACTAAATAAGAAAGATGTCATGCCAAATGAAGAAACAAAAATGGTAAGTGATCGAAAAGTTAATGCCACTTTTAATGAGTAACGTGAATACGTTTGGTAATTTAGGGTTTTCCTTCTCCGAAGCAACCACAAGTAACATCCATAACATCGTTCTTCTAAGGATCTGCCGTTCGCTTCTTACAGGTTGACTTAAGGACAGTGCCTGCCATTGCCACTGCACACATGAGATGCGCATCACGCCAAGGTCATGCGCGCTCGCGCGTGGGTGGAAAAACTCGTCTCCTGCAATGATCACGCGAAAGACCAACCGCAAGGAAAGGGATATTTACCCCTATGATTTACGGGTCGAATCGGTTTAATCATGCAGCCTTTGGCTAAAACCGAATAAGAAAATTTAGTTTACAATTTGTTCCCACGAAAAAAAAAGGGGAAAATAAGACAAGTGTTTTACCCATTGACTCCTAAGTGTTCCGCGTGCCTACCGGGAAAAGAAAAAAAAGGCGCATTGAATTGTTCTATTGCCACTGCACACATGAGATGCGCATCACGCCAAGGTCGTGCACGCTCACGCGTGGGTGGAAAAACTCGTCTCCTGCAATGATCACGCGAAAGACCAACCGCAAGGAAAGGGATATTCACCCCTATGATTTACGGGTCGAATCGGTTTAATCATGCAGCCTTTGGTTAAAACCGAATAAGAAAATTTAGTTTACAATTTGTTCCCACGAAAAAAAAAGGGGAAAATAAGACAAGTATTTTACCCATTGACTCCGAAGTGTTCCGCGTGCCTAACGGGAAAAGAAAAAAAAGGCGCATTGAATTGTTCTGAAATCATCTTTTCCGAAAAACAAGCTCCGATGAAAGTACAGAAGACTATTCAAATAACTAATTTTCAAATAAATAAAACGATAAATGCATATCAAGTTCACTGGGAAATCAAGATAAAATACAAAAGTCGCTGAGTTTTTACGCGTTTCAGCAAACACGCCTGTGGACTTGTTACCTGGAAAGTGTGAGTAAGAAGTAAGACAAAAATGACCAAGAAATATTTCAAGACAAAAGCTTTATTCAAAACATCTCTTGGTGGGCCGTTAGAAGCGAAAAACGTACGACCTTCTTACGAGTACGAAACTGGCACAGTTAATCACTAAAATTCTCTATGTTTAGATCGTTTTTTTTTTACTTGACCTCACGGCCAGAAACTTGCGTAACGTAATGTTGAAAATTCTGAAAGTTGTACCAATTGACCCAAAATTGTACATATCAAATTTTAAACATAATATCTACTTGCCATGGGATCGTCAAATTGTCGGCGCAAGGCCTTACTTTAGTCTTAGGGTCCAGTTTGCACCTCGGGCCATTGCTTCGGAAAATTGTAGTGCCGTTACATACATACATACATACATACATACCTACATACATACATACATACATACATACATACCTACCTACCTACCTACCTACCTACCTACATACCTACCTACATACATACATACATACATACATACACACATACATACATACATACATGCATAAACAAATATATACATACATACATAGATACATACATACATACATACATACATACATACATACATACCTACCTACCTACCTACCTACCTACCTACATACCTACCTACATACATACATACATACATACATACACACATACATACATACATACATGCATAAACAAATATATACATACATACATAGATACATACATACATACATACATACATACATACATACATACCTACCTACCTACCTACCTACCTACCTACATACCTACCTACATACATACATACATACATACATACACACATACATACATACATACATGCATAAACAAATATATACATACATACATAGATACATACATACATACATACATACATACATACATACATACCTACCTACCTACCTACCTACCTACCTACATACCTACCTACATACATACATACATACATACATACACACATACATACATACATACATGCATAAACAAATATATACATACATACATAGATACATACATACATACATACATACATACATACATACATACCTACCTACCTACCTACCTACCTACCTACATACCTACCTACATACATACATACATACATACATACACACATACATACATACATACATGCATAAACAAATATATACATACATACATAGATACATACATACATACATACATACATACATACATACATACCTACCTACCTACCTACCTACCTACCTACATACCTACCTACATACATACATACATACATACATACACACATACATACATACATACATGCATAAACAAATATATACATACATACATAGATACATACATACATACATACATACATACATACATACATACCTACCTACCTACCTACCTACCTACCTACATACCTACCTACATACATACATACATACATACATACACACATACATACATACATACATGCATAAACAAATATATACATACATACATAGATACATACATACATACATACATACATACATACATACATANTGCTCAAGATTATTCCAAATATCAACTGATCTAAAATAAAAGGCATTTTGACCACTACTAGTTTTAAAGAAGGGAATATGCAACATTTGGCAGTTTCTGGTCTTACGACTGCTAACCTCCTCGCGTTTGATAAATTGGGTGGAGAGGTGTTTTGGGGCTCGTCCTGTCATACATTTGAAAGTCATTATGGCGTCGCGAAGATATAGTTTATTTGCCACTGGGAGCCAGTTGAGTTCTTTAAGAAGAGGCTTAACATGGTCGTATTTGCGCGCACCGCAAACAATGCGACAGGCGAAGTTCTGTATGCTCTGTAATTTCGTTATGTTGCGCTTGGAAGTATTCGACCATACACTTGAGCAATAAAACAATTTGCTAAAAGCTAAAGAATTAATAATGGTAAGAAGGGTATGTTTGTTAAAAATATGTTTGGTACGATTAACTTGACTTAGTCGATGCATACAGGAAGATACAATTTTGGTCACGTGTGCGTCGAAGGTTAGATTAGAGTCCGAAAAATACGCCCAAGTCTTTAACAGTGTTGAGAGGGAAGAGTTCCTTTCCCATGAAGTGAGCGAAAAGGGGCCTAACTTTGAGCTAGGGCATTTGTCTGCTCCCAAACACCATCAGTTTGGTTTTACTTGGGTTCAATAAAAGATAATTATTAAAGCACCATTCGGCAATTTGAAGAAGGCCTTTGTTTAATCGGCTACAGCGTACACTGTATCTTTTAGTTAAAAAGAGATGATGAGCTTCGTATCGTCTACATGACTCTGGGAGCTACACCTTTGCAGCACCAAGGGAAGATCATTTGTGTAAACACTGAAGAACAAGGGGCCAAAGATATTTCCCTGTGGAACTCCACAAGTCACGGGAAGAGGCTCAGATAGTGTTGAGTTAATTCGCCTTGCTTGTCTCCTCACTGCACTGCCGTTGACTCGAAAGCTTATTCCATCGCTTCTAAGACTTTGACATTTATTATTTTTCAAACATAATATTCGATATCATTCATATTCGCTTTTCATTTTGAACTCTAACATGGTATAAATGGAAAGGAAAATCTAACTTAAAAATTTTAAAAGTCGGCCGCGTGGACTTCAGTTTCATCCTCCATTATCACTACTTAGTAGGGAAGGTAGGAGGGAAAGTAACTCTCAGGCGCGGCGAGACAATATTTCGCGCTACGCGGGTGTCAATGCTTTTGCACAATTTTTCTCCAATGCTAAAACTGTTTTGCTAGTATTTTTGGTTGTGCAGGTGAGAGTGCTCAGGATAAAAAATGGCCTCAATGCAGTCATTTGATGATAAAATCTTACAAATTTGCCTGTTATTTTAAAGATTTTTACATATACTATTGATTTCGTTTTAGTAAAATCGAATTCAAACGAAATTCACTAGGACATTTTATTTTCCTTCACTTTTAAAGAACGCAACGTCAGCACTTTTTTCAGATTTCAAACCTAATTATCTCGGGATATTGCGTGGCTATCCCCATTTTTTTTCGGATTTTGATAGTCCTTGATGAGATCAAATTTAGCTTGCATAGGGATTGGCCCAGCAAAAATTTATCCCTATTAGCAGGCTCCGTCTTTAACAAAAAATTATACTTTTGTTGATTAATTAGAAGAATTGTAGATGGGAGTCTGCCACTCTGCCTCTTCGTTGGAAACCCCATGGCGTATTGGGTCACTCTTTCCGCCCTTAAACTTCATTTTACCGTCACTCTTAGCGCGCGTATTATATATGTCGGCCACAGTGCTAATCTATTTAATAAACACTTTTAATGAAGGGAAATACAAACCGAGTAGGACTCTGAAACCTGGATTAGAGCCGACTGCCTTTCACACAACCGGCTTTCGGGCTTTCAAAAGATTTCAAAAGCTCCGTGCGCCGTGGCCACAGAGCAGTATGCTCTCAGTCAATCCTTTCGGATAAACGCAACTATAGATCGAAACATAACAGCAACACGTACGATCTGGAGCAGCTTTCAGAGAGTCCTCACATTTCAACCTATTACGTTTTTCTTGCTGTGCTAATATTTGGAGAGGTATGCTAACCTGAGACACGGTGCTCCCAAAGATGATCGTTCCTGAGGCTCGTTGATATTCAAGTAATATTCTCAAGTTGCTTTATTGCAGATCACGGATGTTTGGAGTTTGAGCCAAAAATATGCAGCCCTGCCCTCCCCCATTGAGTTGATTATTAAGAGGCGCACTACGGCCGGCTGGATTTTATCACGTATTCTTTTTTTTTAAGATAATTTTGTAAATAGTAACGCCTTCGGTAAAGATTAATAAACTTTTCTTGTTTTTTTGTTTTTTTTTTGAAATGCTTAAAATACTTAGGTGCTGCAAAGTATAGCAAAATTCTGGCAGAATTGCAACCCCGAATAACCATTGTGGAAAAAGCTGCTGAGGTACTGGAATCACACATCGTTACATCACTAACTCCTGGATGCCACCTCTTGATTCTGATTGGTGATCATCAGCAGCTCCGTCCCAATC